CCCCCCCTCCTCCGTACTTCCTTCTTTCAGTCCGTTATTTTTTTCGCAAACACTTTTTCTGCTTTATATTTTATTAAATTAATTAGTTGAGACTTACTTTCTTGAAACGCTTTACATTTTTTATTGGGTTTTTTTATTGCATTTCTTTATAATAAAATAATCTGGCTTATGTGTCTTCAGTTGTCAATACATACTCTGGCCTTTTTACTTCAACTATGTGTATTCACTCACTTACTTTCAGTAAAACTTAAAGTTTTTCATCTCGCCGCTCTTTGAAGAGAAGAGAGAAGACTTTCACTTCTGTTATCACTTGTTTGACTTCAAACTGTCTGGCTGCTGGTGTGTCATTGTTGGATTCTTTTCCTTGACTGTAGAAGATGTGAATTTGTTTCTAATATCTGGAAGTCCTTTTTCTTTGATCACTTAGGACTGTCTTTCTGTAAAAGTTTGTGTTTCCTGCCCATCCCAGATGGGTCTTGACTGGCAGGGTTCTATCAGCCTGCCTTTTAAATCATTATCCAGTGTCCGATTTGTGTTGATAGTCATGGAAAACATGTCCCAATCTGCCATTATCATTTCAGCAATCTGCCATTATCATTTCAGAATGAAGAGAGCATTTATACAATTGCCTTTTGAACATTTTGAGAACTTTTACCTCTTTTCAAATTTTGCAGGAGCCCCTCCTACTTCTGCGGCTTCAAAGGCTGTGAATCAGAGTCTCAATGCTACAGTGGTCAGCACAGGTATATTATTGTCACATTTATCTCCAAGATCACAGGCAGCGTTTTACCATTCCCTGCATTACTTAAGACTGACCTAAACTTTTTGGATTTATAACAGATTGCATGATGACAAAAATTCGAAATTATTGATGTTAAGAGGTTTGACACTATATATCTGAGTTCCAGCACAATTGTGTTATAAAATGGATTATTAACTATAATGCAGTTCAAGTTAAGACAATAAAGTTTATAAAGAATTTATTTCCCTTTTTTATCGTTTTCTTCATTAGTGCCACTGGTGTGCATTACAAGTGTTTTCAGTTATGATGCAGTTGGCTGACTTCTCATCTTTGTGAAAGTTTTGAAGCAAATTTCAGAAATAAATTAAATAGAATCACTTTTGGGGAAATTTAGTTTGCTGTGGCAAGTACAGGGTGTCTAAAAAAAAAGAGAGCCCACTTAAAGGCAGTCATCTCTACACTAATTTCAACAAAAATTTTAATAAAATTCAACAAGGAGGACGTCATGTTTGTATTTAGATCTATGTGAAGAAAATCTCTCAACTTGTTCAGGAAATATCAAGTTTTAAAAGTTTCAACCAAAATTGAATATTTTACTTATTATTATAAAGCATTCGGCTAGTGACATGATTGGTCCGTTGTGGCTTCAGGACAAGGACGGTAAAACAACAGTCACCTCAAATATATAAAAACGTGTCAAGAAAGTTTTGTAGACGTTAGGGGAGAATGTGTAATGTTGTACAGGCCTAGTTCCAGTGAGATGGGACCACAACCCTCAGACCAAGAGTGGCCCTGATATATGGCTGCAAGAAAGGTTTTGAGGATGCCTTATGAGCCGAAAATTTACAAATGAATGGTTACCACATTCCCTCCCAACTGATGCCCCTTCAATTATTACCTTCGGGGATCTTTGACACAGTGTAAGGAAACAACTCACAGTCGAACAGTTAAAACTCAGAGTTGAACAGGATGTCAAAAGATTCGACCCGAAAACATGCCACAGGGCTATTCAAAATTTCCAGTGGCACATTGGAGCTCATATGAAAAGGAATATGATATGCACCTGGAAATTTAAACAGCGAACACCTTCCTTGAGTTTATTCCACCATATACCAATTTTGTATTAATTTGTTCTTCAATGCACAAATAGTGACTATGTTGAAACAGAATACTATGGCTGATTTTTAAGAAGTTGCACAGTTTTGGGTTTCAATCAATTTAGGTTGAAATCTTTGTAGTTTGATATTTTTTTAACTGATGGATTGATTTTTTTTCTCCATATATTGACAAATGTAACGTCCTAGCGGTTGAATTTTATTTCTGCAAAGTTTTTTAAAAATTTGTCCAAAGATATTTGAGTTATTGCTGTTAAAGTGGGTCCTTTTTTTTCTTTTTCTTTTTTTTTTTTTTTTTAGACACAAGGCATAGATTATTATTATTATATACAATATACTATATATATATATATATATAAATATAAACAACAATGAGGAGATTACAGCAGCATCACACAAATGTAGACATTTTTATTTCAATATGTTATTGTTGATTGCTTCTTAACCACATCCTGTTCTTGAGCTGCAGCCGTCATGTCTTCTTGCTGAAGGGCACACCCTAGTGACTGTCCTCTTTAAAACTGTATGCTTCAATTGTTGAGTTTAACTGGCTTTTTCTTCCATGCTGACAGGGGCCCCCAAGAAGAGGCCAGCATGGGATCTCAAGGGCAGGCTTCAGGATATGGAAGCGCATATGCAGCGCCAAGCAAAGGACAGTTCTTCATTACAGGTCTGAAACTGAGAAAAAGAACTGAGCCTGATTTCACTTTCTAGTGCTGATGGTCTTTCTGTTTTCTTTTTACAAAATTGTGGCTTTTAGGATACTCATTCTATATTTTTTAACAAATTCTTTATTATTTTAGGAGAAAGACAAATGCCCTGCTGATAGCATCATTTTTTTAGTTGGTTAACGAACACACACTGTGATTTTCAAAAGTGGGATTTGCATTTGGCACAATGTAAAGTAAGCAATGATGTGTTCAAATTTATTCAGATCTTTTCTTTACTTTCAAAGATATATAATCCCAGCCAGCTTTGTTGGTACAGGCCCCTGCGGTGAAAGATAAATGTTATAGGTATGGTTGAGTTGTGCATCTTGACTCAAATATTTAGTAGAGAGGTGGTATGTTGTAAGGGAAAGGGCTTTATCATACCACCGTTCAGCCATGAAATAGTTTCAAATTGTGTGGAAAGCTAGAATAGGTTACAAAAGCTAAGAAAAAGTTAATTAATCAAATACTAACAAATAGATCTAATCATTATTTTTCATATTCTCAAGTGGTTTCCTCTTAATGGTGAATATATGTCATGGTCAATGATTGTCAGATACGAATTAGATTATTTACATCACCCCCTTAAAAAAAAGGGCACAGGACAACAAAAAAAGAAGAGAAATGGTAGAAGAAAGGAATTATTTAACTGTTTGCAAAAGAATTATGAAGATGCACGTGACCAGCTGTCATCATGATAGTTTGTAAACATGTTTCATTTGTTGGACCCTTGAAATGATATCTCTATTTATATAATATATTATGCAGACCTGCCACTCATCCCGATTTAATCGGGATATCCCGATTTTTTTCCCCAAATCTCAACCATCCCGATTTTCCCGATTTCGATCGCCAGTATCCTGATTCTTTGTGGTTGCGTCTGTTGCGTCCGATTCTTAGAAAAAAATATATAAAGTTCTGCAATCTCTTTTGCTTGGAAACACCAATTGGATTTTTTATCTGCAGGAACTTGGAACGCTATTTTCTAAAGCATCTATGCCGAATCTAGATCTAGTAGATGACTAACGCACGTTATGTTAAACTAGTAAAATCAACCTAGTTTCAAAAGCTCATTCGCATCACATGACATGACCTCGTACGTGTGGTGAGTAGCGCGTGTGCCGGGGACCGTCGGTTGTCGGGGTCAACAAAGTACATTCACACCGGTCGCGTTGGTCGAGGTGTTTTTCGGGACTTAACCAGTGTGGACGGCCGGGGGGAAGGGGTG